GGAAACAAATTCCAAGAGAACCAAACCCTCCTGAACAGGATCTACACACAGCTCTACATCATAGAGGGAGAGAGAGAAGGATTGAATGAAGAACATGAGTTTTTACAGATGGAAAAAACAGCCCAAACACAACACTCACAAGACACTCCAATCTTCTGCAATGACATCTTTAAAGCCTCTCCTGAACCAGGACGCCAGGAGAAAGATCAAATCAAGAAGGAATCGGGAAAACCGTCTCTGTGCAGAAGTTCATTCTGGACTGGGCCGAGGGAAAAGACCACCAGGATGTAGATTTCATGTTTGTGCTTTCATTTCGAGAGCTGAACTTGATCCGAGATCATCAGTACAGTCTTCACAGACTTCTGCTGGACTTTCATCCTGAACTTCAAGATCTGGACTCAAAGATGTATGAGGAGTGTAGAGTTGTGTTCATCTTTGATGGTCTGGATGAAAGCAGAATCACACTGATGTTTTCAGATGCTCAGAAAGTTTCTGATGTGACTGAGACTTCATCAGTGGGTGTGTTGATGTCAAACCTCATTAAAGGAGATCTCCTTCCCTCGGCTCTCATCTGGATCACCTCCAGACCAGCAGCAGCCAATCAGATCCCCTCCAAATACATCAACCGTCTGACAGAGATTCAGGGATTCAATGAGCCTCAGAAGGAGGAATATTTCAGGAAGAGAATCAGTGACGAGCATCAAGCCAGCAGAATCATCTCTCACATCAGAAGAGCAAGAAGCCTCCACATCATGTGCCACATACCCGTCTTCTGCTGGATCTCCTCCACTGTGCGTCAGAAGCTCCTGGAAGAAGATCTGAGTGCAGAAATCCCTCAAACTCTGACTGAAATGTACATCCACTTCCTGCTGATTCAGATCAACATGAGGAATCAGAAGTATGAAGAGAGAGATGCAGAGAAACTCCTGCAGTCCAACAGAGAAGTGATTGTGAAACTTGCTGAAGTGGCTTTCCATCAGCTGATGAAGGGCAATGTGATGTTCTATGAGGAGGACCTGATTGAGAGCGGCATAGACGTCACTGACGCCTCAGTGCATTCTGGGATTTGCACTGAGGAGGAATCTGTGATTCATCAGAGGAAAGTCTATAGCTTCATTCATCTGAGCGTTCAGGAGTTTCTCGCTGCTTTCCATGTGTTTTACTGCTGTGGAAGCACTGTGGAGACCCTCAAGGTTTTTGATTCAATGCATAATTTGCTTAGAGGAGCAGTAGATAAAGCCCTTGAGAGTGAGAATGGACATCTGGATCTGTTCCTGCGGTTCCTGCTGGGCGTCTCACTGGAGTCCAATCAGAGACTCTTACAGGATCTACTGACACACACAGAGAACAGCTCAGAGAGCATCAGGAGAACCACACAGTACATTAAAGAGAAGATCAAAGATGGACATGGACTCTCCACTGAAAGATCCATCAATCTGTTCCTCTGTCTGCTGGAAGTGAAAGATCAGACTCTGTCCAGAGAGATTCAGTAGTTTGTGAAATCAGACAAACACTCAGAGAAGAAACTCTCTCCTGCTCACTGCTCAACAATCGCCTACATGCTTCAGATGTCAGAGGAGGTGCTGGATGAGCTGGATCTCAACAAATACAACACATCAGATGAGGGGAGAAGAAGACTGATACCAGCTGTGATCAACTGCAGGAAAGCTCTGTGAGTGTTTAATCCATAAGTTATAAGTTCCTGCTTTTGTTTCAAGTCATTTATATCTGAGTATAATTTACTCAGTTTTAAATTTCATTTTCATTTGAATGAATGTTCTCTTTGTGATTTTTAAATGAGGGTTCATAATTTATTTCTTGCATTTTTCTCCCTTTCAGTCTTGCTGGCTGTAATCTCACGGGTCAGTTGTGTGAAATTGTGTCATCAGCTCTACAATCCTCAAACTGTGTCCTGAGAGAGCTGGACCTGAGTAACAATGACCTGCAGGATTCAGGAGTGAAGCTGCTCTCTGATTCACTGAAGAGTTCAAACTGTCAGCTGGAGATACTGAGGTGTGTAATATTTGATAATAGACATTTTGGATGACCCGTCATTTTTATTTAAGCTAGGGATATTTAGTGTTAAATGTGATTTGAGCACAACAATGAAGAAATTATCACACTGATCGAGGATGGTCTGGTCTTTCTTGGTGGCAACTTCACCAGTTTGCAAAGAATTGCATCAGATCCTCTCCATATTTATACATTAATATCTCTTTCTTTAAAAAGGTTCATTTAGAAGCATGTTAACATGTGAAAACGCAAATTTGCAATGCCTAATCTCTAATTTAATTGACTGTGTGTGTGTGTCTGTAGGTTGTCCGGCTGTATGGTGACAGAGGAAGGCTGTGGTTATGTGTGTTCAGCTCTGAGTTCAAACCCCTCACACCTGAGAGAGCTGGATCTGAGCTACAATCACCCTGGAGAATCAGGAGTCAAGCTGCTCTCCGACAAACCGAAGGATCCAAACTATAAACTGCAGATACTCAAGTATGTATCAAGGGAGTTTCATGCAAGATTACTAATATTGCTAACTTCAGTTGGGTGAAATGATGATACCAGCAATGATGATGTAGCCTACTTTGCCTACAGCCTACAAAGTTTTGCCTACTTTGCCTACTAAGAATTAATTTATTGAGAACATAAAACTTGAATCCAATCTTATTTATGACTTTGTCTTGAAAACAGCACAAAAACTTATTGTTGCACTTGTGTGCACAGTTCTTAAGGAAATTGTCTAATTTTTTATTTATTTTTTTGCATGAAAAACGAGTCTCAGTATTCGCAAAAGGGTTATGTAAAATTGATATATTGACAAATGTATATATTGATAAAAAACATTTACCCTGGCAACCCTGCCTGCCTAGACATATTTCTGCACACTTAAAAGATCATTGTCACATGCATAAAGTATATGTTAGGGAATAAATCTAAACCTTGACAAAATCAAATGTGCTCTTGTGAGAGTTAAATCTATTTAAACACGTAGTTCTTTAGTCGCTTGGTCTTGACTTTATTTTCACTATCTTCTGGAGGCTGTTGGTTTGTTGAGCTGATCTGTTTTTGGAGCTCTGTAGCTAAAAGAATTTACTATATTGTTTCTTTCATTTTTTGGCTTCCTATATCTTTTTCCCTAAATGAGTGACTTGTTTAGATAAATAATTATTCATTAATTTTAAATTGCTGACTGCTATATCTTCATGCACACTTTTAATGAAACAGTTTTGGTTTATATTTGTCTCTCTGTAGTGTGGACCATGGAGACCCCCTTAGAATCACACCAGGACTGAGAAAATGTAGGTCTCTCTCTCTCACTCACTCGCGCACGCTCGTGCACACACACACACACACACACACACACACACACACACACACACACTCGTGTACTTATCTAAAAAGTCACATTGCAAACACTTCAATCTTTTTACACACACTTCCTCCGTGTTGTCCTTATCTTTCTTCTTGTGTTCAGATGCCTGTGATCTCACACTGGATCCAAACACAGCACATGTTAAACTCTCTCTGTCAGAGGAGAAGAAGAAAGCAACACATGCTAAGGAGGAGCAGTCGTATCCTGATCATCTAGACAGATTTGATGGTTTTGAGCAGGTTCTGTGTGGAGAGAGTCTGACTGGACGCTGTTACTGGGAGGTTGAATGGACTGGATTTAAGGTAGATATAGCAGTGACGTATAAAGGAATCAGCCGGAAAGGAGGGAATGACTGTTGGTTTGGATGCAGTGACAAATCCTGGAGTCTGTACTGTTCAACTAATGGATTTACTTCCTGGCACAATAATGTGAACAATTCCATACCGGTCCCGTCACCCTTTCCTAACAGAGTAGGAGTGTATCTGGACGTGCCGGCCGGCACTCTGTCCTTCTACAGCGTCTCTGACACACACACACTCACACACTTACACACATTCAACAGCACATTCACTGAACCCCTCTATGCTGGATTTGGTGTGTTTGATTCCTCACTGTCACTGTGTCCGATTTAACAACCTGCTGTCAAACTTGTTGCCTGTAAACTAGCTTTTAAGGCATCTACTTGCTAGTGTATATCTAATGCAATAATGTTTCAATCTGATGCATCATTGCAAAAAGCATTTAAAATACGCATGCACACAATTATTTCCAATATGGTGTAGTGTGTGAGTGTGTGAGTGTGTATGTGTGTACATCCAAGGACTTTGTGTTTGCAAAGACAGATTTACAAATTGCTGACTACTAGGATGTCAACATTAAATGATTGCTATATCTAGTTAGAGTAAAGCTTTAGTATATTCATGAGTTTTTTCTTATAGAAGCTACTGTATATGTCGGTTCGGCAGCACTAATTTAAACATTCAACAATTGAGTTGTTTAGTCGTTTTTCGCGCATTCTGTTTAACACTATTCTTAAAAAAAAATCTATTCTCTTTTGTGTAGATGTATAGCAGAAATAAAGTCAAACTGGTAATAGTATGTGCAATAATGTGTAATGGCTCGAAGCCAGTTGTTTTTCCTTTAATGATTCTGCTTGTTATCATCAGGTGTCTTCAATAATGCTCAATCATCACTTAATTAATCACTTAATTATCTCATTAACGTTAACACTGCTTCAGTGCTCATTTTAACATCCTGTGGTGTGGAAACATATGCACACTAGGGCTAGGCGATTTCCTATTAATCAAGGAACCGGCTTTACTGATGAGATGCGCATAACAATGTCTTGTGATGTATCGCCCAACAAAACCTCAACACTGCAGACTTAAAAGCTCAGCCCAGAGAAGACAGAAAAGGAGAATATGATCCCATGTGAGAGCAGTGGGGTATTCTAAACTAATTGCAATCGGTTTAATGATGTTTGGCACACACACACAAGGAGTTGCAATAGTCTTGCCTTGAAAACACTGACCAGCTTATGAAAGAAGGATAGAGAGAATTTTGGGTTAAAAATGGGGTATTTATTTTGAACAATCGAGATAATTTCAGTTTGTTTAATCCCATAAAAAGTCTTTTAATGACAAGCCACAAATATTAGATTTAAAAAAATCATCCTCCAAATTTTATTTATTTTAATTTCTCAACAAAATCTATTAGCTAGCAGAAAGGATAGGTAAAACCACAAAGTTGCAGAGCTGAAAAAAACTTGCACATTCCTAGTCGACTTCCATTGACACTTCCGCAAATGCATTTTCTTCTTTTTCATCTTCCTTTTCATCATCATCTTGCAAGCTTTCAAGAAATTTCTCAGCTTCTTTACTAGAAGAGCAGTTTTCTCCATTTGAAAGGTTTATCTTTTGATCAAGTGCACAACAGCTGAGGCTTGCCTTAAGCTTCCTTTTAGGAAAGGTAAGGACCTCATCCTTGTTGATGTGAAAGATGAGGCTAAGCTGATCCCACACATAAAACTGGAATGAATCCATGGTTTGTTTCACTGCTGTTTTCCCATGGATTGCCAGTTGGTAGTTGTGGGTTTCACAAATCGCTTGTGCTCTCCAGATGATCTCATTTCCCTCATAAGAAGCCAGTGGGCTGGGTGTATCTGTATTTTTTAGCAGTGGGTATTGCCTAAAGTTCTTCGTAAACTTAGGGCTGTGAACAAGAACAACATACTCAATCTCCTGCCTGAAAAGTTTGGTCTCGTATACCCTGAGAATCGGATCTTCACCCTCACACATCTGCTTCTTGTAGGCCTCCATCAGTTCAGTCAGAGGAAACGTGAAGCGGAAGTTTCCGTAGCGTGAGGTGTCATTTATGAATGCTGGTGATGTGGTGAAATCTCTCAGGAACGGCTGCTGAGCTGCTATTTCTTCTTCGCTTCTGTCTGGGAATGCAATCTTGAGGAAACGCTCCTCGACTGCTGTTATATCCGCTTCATTGATCTTCAGGCTCCACCATGAAAACGTATCTTTATCAAGAACACGTGGTTCAAATCCCTTGAATCCCTTCGAGTCCCAGATCTTCTGAAGGCTAGTTTTGTTAGTGACATGGGTCAATTCTTTGATGTGAAAGTAAGGAGTTGGATAACCTGTGACATCTTTGGAGAGATACTTTTGTACTTGTTCTTCTATATCATTTCTCATTTTCAGATTTTTTATGCTGACATGCTCTCCCTCAAGATATAACTCTCGTTTTCCACGCTTGTTCCATCTTGCTGTGAAGCGGTTATCTGTCTGAGATGATAAAGTTAGTTAACAATGAGTTATACATTACAGTAAACATAAATAAAATGCAAAGGGTCAAAAAACACACCTGGGACACAAACACAAAGGACATTAAGTGATAGTGGCAGCAATTATGGTGAACGTTATCAGTGTTTAGTAATAAAGCAAAGAGAACTTAAGTTGGCACTGTTATACATTATAGTAAATATATGCTGGTTAATCATTTACAGTGATTATATCTATTTTGTCCTATTTTTTGTTTGTTTTAACTGTAATGTTATAGTGAATTGTTTAAATAGATTTGAGGTCTAAAAAGTAAACATGTTGTTTACAGAATATTAACAGGATGATACATTGTTTCATCCTACTGAAACCATATTTTCTGACTTAGAAAAATCGAGCACAGCGTTAGTTCAGACAGGCCACGCAGGTATAGTCTGCGATCAGCTGACGCGGTCAGCTGTCAAATCGCTCCAACCACTACCTTTCTCCTATTAGACCGGAAGGATATATATATATATATATATATACGCGCACTTCCACCTCTGATGTATGCTTAAACTGCTCGCAACCCTGTTAAACTCATGTAAACTTGCCAAAGTGGTCTCGTCTGAACTGGTAGTTCTGTCTTCTAGTGACATTAGCCACTTCCGTGGTGTGAAATTCAAAAGGAGTTGAATAATCTGGTATTTTCTTTGAAAGATAGTAGAACATTTGTTCTAATTTTATGTCTTGATTTCAGATTGTTTATCGCAATGTATTCTCGTTTACAGACTGATTATTTTGCTTGTCAAGCATTTCTTCTTTCATTGAAGTTTGCCTAGGAAGATAATGTACATTTACTTGAGGTCTGTTTCATTCTAGCCATATACAATGAAATTAAAGTTTACTTCAGCAGTGCACATCTGTGCTATAAATACTATAAATACTCTCTGGACAATAAACACTGATTAGTGGGGGCACAAAGTAAAGAACATTTAATGGGAATGACAGTAATATCAGCAATAGTGTTAGTTGAGTGATAATGTGTGGTGTTTGGCGCTATCACACAGTAAATACGAAGATGACATCCACTTTTGTATGTTGGTTCTAACTGACATTTTACGGTGAATTACAAATGCGAGGTCTGAATAATCTGCAAACCATGTACCTACAGCAGCTTTAAAATCAAGAGCATGTACATAACATCACCAAAAACTCCACTATTAATTGAACTCTCCTGGGATTTTTTTTTTAGATTCCAAACTCAAGATTGTTAAAGTGTTGCAATCCAATCTAAAAATTATTTTATTTAAACACACTGACATCAATAATCAGCCTGTGAATCTCAACAATGGTGACAATAATGAAGCATGTTACAGTGCATTCTGGGTGCCACCAATCAAAACTCATTCATGGCTCCCATCATGCATTGCGGTCTGAATAAATTATGATCTGACTTGTCGCAGTAATTTCCTTTTCTTAATTGAATATTCTTTTTGTCACCATTGTTGAGATTCATACACCGATTTTTTATATTCATGTGTGTCAGTGCAGGTCTTTTTTTTACTTAATGTTTGTTGAAAGATTTAAAATGATTGTTATATTGCTGGATCTAATTTTGCAGTAACACAGGGTTTGAGGGTCAGTGAGTCAGGCTATTTCATGATGATTAGAAATCCATCAACAGGAAACCGTCATCACCTTATCTCATTTCACTTTACCTTTCTTTGCAGCAGCAAATGTCCCTAACACACACACTGTCACAGGAGCCAAAAAAGACAAAATATATAATAAGACTTAAAGGGTAACTAAACCCTAAACCAACTTTTTTTAGTTAATGATCTGTAAGAATGGGGCTTTTTAAATGCTGATCATTGATTCTAGTAACTTTTTAACATTTGGGTATAAAAGTGTTTTATTTCTACAATATATGGTGTAAAAACATCTTTTAAAAAAGTGAAAAAAGTGCTGCCCTTTTCAGGTTGAACGGTGGCTACCGCAGTTGAATTTTCCTATTGGATGTTCCGCACCTCATGTACGCAGGTTTCAGCCATTTCAGCTTACCACACCCTTGGTACGAGCTACCACCTGAGTGGGAATTACAAGTTTTGAAAACGATCAGGATAGAGTATTGTAGCTTCTATTTAGCATACCATTTATATAGTTATTTAGATTATTTTGTGTAGCCTAGTTAGTAGCATAGTACAGTTTGGATAGCTTCAAGTTAGCATTTGATTGATTTTTCTGTGTTTAGTACAGTGGTCAGGATGGTAATGGAATAGAGATGGACATAGGCTTCTCCACACAGCTCCACACGCAGCTTTGCATTGAATGCAAAACTCACTTTATTTAGAAATTGTCTAATAATCCAAATGTAGTTGTATAAGTTAAAATTATTCAAACAAAGAACAAACAATGGTTTTCGGGCTACAGATGGCAGACATGCTTCTGTTTTTGTTGCAAAGATAGCTAATTAAAGATAATCTAATTATGATATAAAAATCTAATTAATAATATGTTATATATATATATATATATATATATATATATATATATATATATATATATATATATAGGCCTATATGATCTGAAGAAACTAGTAACTAACTACTTGAGTAGTTTTTTTCATTGGATACTTTTTATTCTTTCTCAAGTACTCAAGTAACTATTACGATTATTATGTTTACTTTGATTAAAACATAAAAAAGTACTTGTACTTTTACTTTATATACAGTTTTTGGATAGTCTACCCACCTCAGTTTTGGTTATTTTGCTGTTTTTTGTCTAAGGACCTTTGAAATAACTGGGCATGTGTTTCATTCAAACGTTCGTCAACCAATCAGATTCAAGCATTCATCAGCAAATAAGAAGTAAACTTCCGGCTTCTGAACTGGTTACAGTTCCACTCTGGGTCCATTTGAGGGCGCTCACAGGATGTGGTGCCGAATGATTGAAGGTCTATGGAGCTGTACCCCTCAAAATCCACTTTTCTCAGAATATATTTTTTTAATTTTAAGGTATTACTAATCAGAGTGTCTGGTAAGAGTTAAAAAAAGGAGAGCCAAATTTGCTTCGGTTTGCATGTGTACCTATTCAAGTTCAAACTGTCCTTTGAAAGGGAAAGCTAAAATAAGCCAAATAATGCAATTTTCAGGTGTAATTTCTTATCTACATTTATCTATATTTTTCTACCATTTTTTGAATATTTTGCTTTATCAAACAGTTTTTCCAAAATCCATGAGTTGTTTTTAAGCACTTTAAGTTTTGTTTGACTGAGAGTTGGCATTGGCGTCATGCCCAGTGCATGTTTCCTTTCAAGCTAAAGTTGTCTCTTTAAAGTACGAGCTACCAAAATAAGCCAAATGATACAATATCAGATACAATTTGCTGTCTATCTACCATGTGGCATTTATATCTATCATTTGTTGACTATTTTGCTTTATCAAACAGTTTTTTTATGAAATTAAAATGTTTTTTTTAAAGTACTGTTTTGTGCTACTGTTTCAAAGTACCGTTTTATGCAGTTATGCTGGTCAAAGACCTTATTTCTTTTTTAAATAAAGATAAAAAGGCCTCCTGTGACACATATGTTATGTGAAATACGTTAAAATATGTTACAACTCGTAATTAAAAATTGTAAACCTTGTTATGATAATGTGGTTTAATGAATTGAGAGGTTGTTTTTTTATACAGTTGACCCACTAATACACTCACATTTCCTTTTCCACACAAAAATCCTCTGGATATCCAGCCCTTGATTTTATTCACAACCCTCAGCATGGCCCTTACTGAATTTGAATTTTACATCCCTGATCTTCACAATGAAAGTGCTACAATAATCCATAAGGTTAAGTAATCTTAAAAATAAAGCAATGAGTTTAATGATTCAGGTCAAATATTGATTATGTTTAAACACAACAAACACCATCTATCTATCTATCTATCTATCTATCTATCTATCTATCTATCTGTCTGTCTGTCTGTCTGTCTGTCTGTCTGTCTAGCTATCTATCTATATAATCAGCACATTTTGGTTCTTCTCACTATATTATTTTGATATGTCTGCTAAGATTTTAATGTCAAATGAAAAGAATTGCCTACTTACTGCGTTTGCCATTTCGTGAGGTTTATGTTTTCAAAAGAAGTGTGTTGTTCTTCTGTTCTCTCTTGTGACGGCTGTGAGATCCACTGCTGGCTTTTAAAGGCTTTCTCTCTGAGGACTTCCACACCCATGAGAGCTTTTCTTGAGAAACGAAACTTATCTGAGGTAATCACAAAGGAAACGCGTTCGATCTAAACAAAGAAATACAAAAACTATAAAGAGTAAATAAAGCTAATTGTATTACAAAACAATTTGCGTGTTTTGTAATCCATGTAAAATGGAACATTTTGTACTAATAAAGCCAAAGATAATCAGTCCCTCGTCTTAACCCAGCTGCTTTTTAGCACATTAAGGATGTTTAGGCCTCGGGCAGCTTCTCTGTAACCAAACAATTGTTTTCTTGAACATGAAAATATCATGCTGTCTGTAACTCTCATTTCTTTGAACTGTCTTGTTTCCATGAGTCATGCTGAAACTGAATCTTTAATGATGTTTGTGTAATGATTATTCATTACACAATGAATGACTCAAATGAAACCTTCACTACGCATTGCAATTTATTGATGTCCTAGAGCTCATGTGCAGTGTTGGTGTGCCACCAGGAACAGGGTTGGGAAACACTGCTTTATAGAACTCGAAAGGTATTTTCCCGATGCGACCGATTAGTACAGACCAAAACTCGACCATTTTTCAGCAGAAATAATCAGCCAAATTTGCGAGTCTGTTCAGTTTAATGGCATTGTTTATCTTCTGTGCCACCAATATGGCCGACTTCCGGATTAATGACGCGTCGTGAAAACCCTCTATAGTTTGTCTCTTTTTTAATCTAACAATTATGTCGTCACATTAATTTGTTATACACACACTACAGTTACTGCAGCATAAGATGTAGCAATATTATAACTATGATTTAAAAGACTTTAACAAACATGAGCACAAAAGAATATCAAATATGATGACATACACAGACATCAATAATAAGCGTATTGATCTCAACAATAGGGACAATCAAAAGTACCTTGCTGCAATGCATGCTGGGTAATAGCATAATACAAAACTCCCGGCATGCTCCCAACATGAATAAATGATGCAGCTGAATTGTCCTATAATTTTGTTTGATTCTAAATATTTGCATTTTATTTTTGCAGTTGTTTTGTTGTGAATTATAGCTTTTCAATGCTGTTCTGAATTAATCTGTTTATCTAAATATTAGTGATTGTTCAGATTCATACACACCATGTGTGTCAGTACAGGCCAATTTGTTTAACTTAAAGTTTATTGAAAGATTTAAACCAATTGTTCTATTGCTGGATCTAATGCTGCAGTAACACAGGGTTTGTCATTTGAATATATTAGTGAAACAACATCCTTGTTAGATTATTAAAACCTCAGTGAGTCAGGCTATTTCATGATGATTATAAATCAATCAACAGGAAACCATCATCACGTTATCTCATTTCACTTTATCTTTCTTTGCAGCAGCAAATGTGGTTAAGACACACACTGTCACCCCAGACAGCAAGCCAACATTGAATAAACATTGTTTTTCCATCTGAATCATCATTATGGTTGATATCGAAATTTCAATGCAAAATTAATGTTGAGTCACCATTACTCTTGTCGATGAAAACCTGATGTTATTAAAGAGCCCCTATCATAGCATTTGAAATGTTCCTATTTTTGTTTTAGGAGTTCCCAAAAACAGTTTAACATGCATGCAAGGATAAAAAACACTTTATTTGTCTTATAATATGCATTTATTTTTAACTGATTTGCTCACCGACTCCCAAATGATTCGTACAACGACTCATTTTTCCAAACCACTCCTTTGCGTGACGCGAATCGGCGGTGATTGGTCAGATGACAGACCCAGTCAGTTATTGTTTGTTAGCATAACGCATAAACATATTGATAAAGCACTGCAGTACTACAAGACGCTCTATTCTTTATGACAACTCTAATAACAGTGACAAACATTTCACATATTTAAAAAAAAAATTGACATTGAAGACCTAGAAGCTGCGCTGAGCGTAACTTACACACTCACACACACACACACACACACACATACTTATTGCGCCCCGACGCTACAAAACCGTTCAAAACCCATAAAAGCAACAATTCTTAATAATACTTACAGGTTGTGATTCGAAGGTGGAAGCTGATCCATATACACTGGGTAAGTAAGTTACTGAGCCCTCCTTCAGGAACAACCGCTTGCGAATCCACATTTGAATTCATTTATGTTTTTGAACGATTCGTCATTAAAATGATGAGAACACAATCGGGCTATACTGTTGTGGTATCTTTGCAAATATGAACTCTAACCACCGATTCTTCACATGCTCGTCCCTGGTAAATGAAAACAAAGTGGCTGAACTATCTTTGCATTGTAGAACGCAGCGTCTTCTCGACATGATGCTATGATGAAGTATTTGAATGTGTAGACTTCAAGATTACACTTCCGTCTGCGAGCGCAGTAACTGGCCGTGGCCAATATGTATCTACGTCACGACGAACCAGCTAATGACTCGTTTCAAAAACAATTCATTTCATAGACTCAGAGTCGACTCTCACTTTTGAAAGACAATAACTTTTTATACGGTGCACTTTCAGATATAAATCTTTGCCGGATGTTTTCATTCCCTTAGAGCTATATTCCACACCATATGAACAGTCATTTTCAAAAATCCATGGTAGGGACTCTTTAATGTTGATGGCAACGATATTGGAACAACATTGATCTATATTTATCTTTAGTTATATATCTTTTTATAGTAATCTTTATTTATCTTTGATTGATTTAGCGTTGATATTTGGTTTACCAGGCGATCGCTGAATGTGTTGAAAAGTCATTGATTTATAGTTGAAGGGAAACTACACTAGTTGACCAGGAAATATTATTGAAAATCAATAGATTTTTGGTTGACCGGGAGATCGACGGGTCATGCCAACGTGACTGGACACACAGCTCATTTCTGGACCTTTGGCAAGTGTAAAGGTAAGCTTGCTTCATGTTTGAAATTAATGAATTGTACCAAATCAAATACTGTTAGGCTGATCGTTAACATGGTTGGTGTAGCGACGCAGTGATAAATAGATTTTAGTTGTAGCACTGTGTCAAAATCTGCCAAAAGTAGCCTAGGCCTACTTTGTAGTTCTCTTCTGGGTTTCAAAGTTAGCAATATATATATATATATATATATATATATATATATATATATATATATATATATATTTGCACTAAAGTCCAAAAGTGAAGAATTTATGTTTATTATCTGATTGTTCAAGCTACCTCACAGAAGTGCTCTGTTTGTTAACAGAGTTGTCAAATGTTAAAATAAGGCAAATTAAATTAATATAAGCAACATCTTCGAATCTGGGTCTGTTTTTTCGCTCTTCTTTATTCTTTTTTGTATATATTATAGAAGTATCGGATTGGGACTCGGTATCCCAGATACTCAGAATCAAATGACTCAGACTCGGACTTGAGGGCAAAAAAACCTGATCGGGACATCCCTATTAAACACTATTTTATAATGAAATTATTAAAACTATAATTCTTATGGTACTTTGATATTTGACTGTTGATATTTTTTGTTTATATATTTTTGTTTTATAAACACAGTTTGTCAGCATTGAGAGGGCTACACAAAAGCTTCTGAGCAACAGGACAGTTTTGTTAGTTTCAGTCTGATATATTAATTATGAGTCGGACTCTTCCTATATGTGAAATCTTCTACAAACACACATGCTGGAGGCAAGAGACAAAGGCATATAACAGATTATAAAAGCTTTATTGATTCATTTATCAAAATTATATAAAAAGAAGAAGAAGGTATCAGTTGGAAGAAGACTCCTTAGCAGTTAATTGGTAAATATAGTAGTATGTAAATAGAAAAGTATATTCAAAAAATCAAATCATATTAAATGAGAGTAAAATGATTATAACTGCATGCAATGCCTGTATATATTTGGAATGCATTTTGGCATAAGATGCCCCTTTAACTCGATTCAAGGCAAGACACTTGTTCACGGGTCTTGAGATGCTGTTATAGCTTTTTTATGAAACTATTTTCAAGTGTCTTGCCTTAAACTGATTTTCCATCCTCAGAGTCCAGGGAACAGGTAGAATTTCTTGGGAAGGGACGTCCTGTCGATACATGGCATTAGTTTTTTCAGACCTGTGAATTGTGGGTCTTTCTCCATGCGTAAGGCGACCTATAATAAAAAGATCAAATTTAAATGTGACACGCAGCAAACACCTGTATTCATTTTAGCTGAGCAATGCACTATGTCAAGACTTATAAAGCAAACCAATTTAAATGGGATTTTAACTTTTACCTTCCTGAACAACTCCATGATGTCATCAATACGAGCCCGTTTACAGAACACATCCACGATGTAACAGATGAAATAACTTCCTTCGACAGGATGCCTGAATGCACTGATACCTGTGGAGGAAAAACATTGGTAGGATGAAGAACTTCACAAAGAAACCCAGTTCACCTTCTTCAAAGTGTGAATCAATATTAAATTAACATTGTTTTAAAAAAGGACAACAGTTGCTTTTTTTTTGACTATGAAAACAATGTGTGTAGTGTGATCTGCATTTCAATTTCAGAAATCAGTGTGTTTTCTGAGCACTCACCAGGGAGGCAGGACTTGAAACACACAAAGTCTTTCTCTAAGTGCACAGTGGCGTCTGATTGTACATCCACACCACCTTTCTGATCTGGACAGACAAACGCTTAATTATATATATATATATATATATATATATATATATATATATATATATATGACAATATTTATGACAATATTACAGTAATTCCAGTAAAAATTTGGAGTACAAAGAGAAATATCAGGAGCTAAGTTGCATCATGTCGAACCTCCTCTGCAGGCTTGGATCAGAATAACCTTTGGTTTGTCGATCAGAGCAGGACAGCTCTTTGAGTTCAGATGAGAGAAGATGTCGTCAACAGAGAAGAAATCCTTGGGGTTTTTCGGATAGTCGACACCTAAAATGGCATCTTTATTGTCGATTCTTGTCCCATGAGACATCAGAACCACAAACGTGCTGTCCGAGTCTCCATGTTCAGAACGTGTGGCGAAGTCCTTGACTTTAGCATCTATTTCCTGTCAATATAAAACATATTTTTAAAGAAATGCATATTATATAATGCATTGTAAAATATTTGTTCACATTTCTATATCTACTCTAGAAGTCCAATATACGCACTTTCCCAGTTAGATCTGTGTATTTCTCAACACTGTATCCCAGAGCCGTCAGCAGCCACTCCATGTTCTCATGGTCTCTCTCGGCTCCTTTCCTGTTACCTGATGAGTCCTTGAATCGTATGTTGGTGATCAGCAGAGCTAAACGTCTCCTCTGAGACTTGTCCTTCGGGATATAAACCTGAGAAAACATCAGTAGCAGAGTTAGAACACTATAGAGTCCCCTCGACTAATAAGGAGTGATTATAAATGCAGTCTGTGAATAATACGATACAGATTATTCAACAATATAAAATTCATAATAATATAAAATGAATCATAAAAAAGGGATTTAGATGTCATTTCAATATTTATGTTTTGTTTCTAGATATCACGAGAGAACAATATTTTTAATATTGTGTTTAAAGAGTGTTTCCTTTAGAAAGAAAGACACACATCTTGAATGACATGGGAAAATGATCAGGAAATTTGAACTAGTGAACTACTCCTTTAACAATGTACTTTTTCATATCTATTAAAATAAGCTTTAAAAACTCAATGTTACACAACAAAATGAACTGATATTTTACATATCACGGGTATGAACAGCAGATTAATGTGCAGAGGCTTCTGGAGGGCCGCAGTCATCAGGGTTCAGATCCTCTCACAGACATTCAGTCTTTTCTTTCTTAACTTTTTCTGTCATGGACTTATAGTTTAAATTTCATCATTTCCTGTGTTCTTTGTTCATGTTTTTATCTTTAGTTGGTTGCTATGGTAACTCAGTTATTCATCGCACAAAGCAGAACTAGCAATCCCTGAATGTAATGTTTTCAAAAATGTATATTGAATCAGAGATACTTGCATCATTTCTGTTGTTTCTGAGAATTGTGCTCTTAAACTCTTGGCTGCTCTGAGTAATGCTCTTTGGTCTCGTCCAGTCAGACTGGATGGGCTGATCCTCCACAGACACTGAAGCATTTCTTTCTTCCACCGGCTCAGGCTGCTGAACTGAAAACACACATCACAATACAGCCGCTAGAATAAAGGACGTTCTCTACATCTGTCTGCAGCTACAGCTGTTTATGAATGACATCTACAGCACATTCAAGGTCCTTGTTTTCAGAGTTTATTTGTAACTTTATGTAAATTTCAACCCATCTTAGGGGCAAATATACATATTTTAGTACTGCTATGTTACTGCTTTTTATATAAGACAATATTATGACTTTGAATCACAGCCCTGTTTTCAAACTAATTTTCTGTTTGATCTACTGCATAATATTCACATGTTTTATTGTATTATTTATAATAAACACATATTTTTATACACAAAAAAATTAACGTAACTGTACAATGTCATGGAAAATTCTCATTATTTTTTTCATAATAATGACTACTACTCAATCTTACACTAGAATAAATTGTTATTCTTTACCTTCCTGAAGTTTCGACTCAAGGTTTTTTGCAGCATGATTTAGTTTGATGTTGCGCAGCGCTTGTACTGCGATCTTCCCAGCATCATCACTGTACTTCTCTACCATGCGATCCACAACATCTGTCCGGTCAGCTTTCTCCAGCTTTGCTCGAGGAATAGGCTCGATGTCTGGTATCAGACCATTCCACAGGACCCACTTGAATTTTTTGATGTCATCATCCACAAGATTCTCAAGTGCATCATTCATCAGTTCTTTGGTGTCCATTTTGTGTCACTATAGAAAAGGCAAAGACAGAAAAGTCTTGATTGGATGATTTTCATGAAAATCATTTTCACATGAAAACCGATTGCCTTAATAAAACTAGTTGAAATATGAATTTTAGATAACATAAGAACTGAGAGTACTTGGTAATTTACTTTAATTAAAATCTATTTGTTACTTTGCATGCTGAATGTTGAAGTCTGTGCGACTCAAACATGATCAACTGCAAGATATTATTACAAATATAGAGCTTATATCAACTCAATTAAAAGTTTGACAAGGTTAAGATAATTTTAAGGTACCATTATTTTACATAAAATATAATTGTGTTATACACGTCTTGATTAACTTCCTTTTAAACCGAATAAGTGTAATTTCTTATTGTGACTCTGCATCAACAGAAAGAGGATTACAATCAAATTAAGTTCCATGTGGCTAACCAAATGGAACACTGATCACCATAATGGTGAGTTTTCAACAAATTAAATGTATGAAGTGAGTTTATGTGATGTTCTGCTAAATTTTATAAGTTTTATTGACAATTGGCTTTATGCACAGCTGCACTACTTCAGCTCTTTGTTTCCTGTCTGCCATTATTGGGCAAATTTGATTCATTCAGGTGTGTCTGATTATTGTTGTCGTGACTACTGAGGTCAGGCACACCTGAATTAATCAAGTTTGTCCAATAATGGAAGACAGGAAACAAGGCGCTGGCTGAAGTTCAGGAAGTAGTGCAGCTGGGCATAAACCCAATTCAATATTCAGGCTGTGGGCACTCAGCATTTAATACTCACGACTGACACCTAGTGGCTCATTTTAAAAATTGTGCATAATGATGAGCAACATGTCAATCCAATTATTTTATCTGATTACCATTATCTGTGATTTACTCATGTGGAAATTAAACTTAATACTTGTAGCTACTCTTATTTAAAATATTTTTTTTTTCTGGAAAGAAAAAATGTTTTTACAATTTCATTTCTACAAGAAAAGTAGGCCTACACATTATTGTTGCATTGTTTTCTGTCTTTCACTCAACAAAGCCAGTCGAATACAATTCCATTTAAATTATGCCTATTTTATTTCCGCAAATGACATAATATTTGTTTTAACATTCCGGACAATAAAATCACACAACTATGAGAACTTGAGACGTGATTCTGCTTTCTCCTGTGATTGTTTTGCTCTGAAAGGAAAAACTGAGTGTCAAAGTGTGTGCGAACTGATCAAAGCAAAACGATCCCCGCGCTCGCGCAGAAACCAGGACACTCGTACAAAATAGTGAAACAGCTTTTGATTAGCCTATTAATGAGGACGAAAGTTTCAAATATCGGGACAGAAGAACGCGAGTTACATTTGCTGACTTGCACTACTTCCAATAAATTAGTGCAGGACCTTGTACCTCAGAACATTAATTCCCTCTCAGAAAATAAATGTTCGAAACCTGACACTGGGACGATGGACGAGGGTTCTTCTAATATAGGTACAAAGGTGTAGCTACATTTTGAAAGGGCACCGCCTCAATAGATTGTGTACCTTTTTTTTTCTTTTTTTTTTTTGAGAGTAATGAGAACCCAGTTTCTAAGAATGAGTAACACTCGGAAACCATATAAGGCCACATATGGAGGTGGAAAATGTATTTCGTAATTCTCTCGCAAAAACTGTTGTGTTCGCTCACAAAATCTTTGTGTTCTTAGACACAACATCAAGTAAATTTTCTCGGGTAAACGCAACAAAAAAAGTTTATTACATTTATTTTATTAAAATTAAGTTTATTAAACTTATTAAAAAAAAACCTCAATTTTCTATCACATATATTTTCTTTCACCATGTCCTTTAGTTGCTTTGTACTAAAAATCTAATAGCAGATATTGAAATAACTGTTTAAAGTGATTATAGGATGCTCTACTCACAGTTTAGCGGATCAGGGTGTCCTGTAGACTTGTCTTTGTGCTTGTCAAGCGCTCGAGTCAGAGTGTAAAAAGAGGATCCTTAGCACATTTTTTCGAAGGAAGGAAATGTGGTCACACACACACACACACACACACACACACACAAATCTCCTTTGTGTTTTGAGGCTAATTGTTGGTTTATGCAGTTGCTTTAACTCTCTAGTTTTTTAAATCACACTTGTAGACCATCCCAAGACGTCATATAACTGACGTTTTGGGACGTCTTTTGACCATACGTCAATATTCGCCTTTTTAGGGCCCCCTTAAACGTCGGTAGATGAGGTTATGGGATCCTAACTTTACCCCACACCTAAACCTAACCCTAAACCTAACCCGTCACCTAACTGACGTTAAAGGTAAAGCGTCAGTTGTATGACGGCCCGGGATCGCCATCTAGCGACGTTTAAGGGGGCCCTAAAAAGGCGGATATTGACGTATGGTCACCTATAACACATGGTGTTATAACACAGTCTCATCCCAAGAAGTCATATAACTGACATCTTGGGACGTCTTTTGACCATACGTCAATATCCGCCTTTTTAGAGTACCCTTAAACGTCGGTTACATGACGATCCCGGGCCGTCATACAACTGACGCTTTACCTTAATTTTCTGCCATTTATGTTCTTCTTTACATGGGATTTTACACAAATCATTATATTTCGACATTAGAATCTAACCCAAATGGCAGAAACGTTGACGACGTATAACTTCTGATATCCTGCGATTTTAGCCTAGGAATATATTTATATAGCCTATAATAGTTTGTTTTATATAATCATTAAAAATATATATTTGGCCAATTCGGATATTTTTAAATCAGGTAACAACAAAATAAACACTTTGAATTTAAAGATATTTCTCCATCATTATATTATTATTTATTTATTTTTTTTACACACATGCATTGTGAATTTAGAAGCATCATTAGTAATATTATTATTATTTGTATGTTCACGTATGTAATGAACCTGTGAATGTTGGCTTGTTTGAGGCACGCCTTGCCTCGCCTGACATGTATGCGAGAGTAGGCGTCTGGAGTCTGAAGGTATTTGTGAAATTTGTTGAGAAAGACTTTGAATAATGACCTATGATTGGAAAATTTACACTTATGAATATGACATTTTGTTAGGAGAGGTAATAGATTTATAAAGTAAAATTATTTCTCAAAGTTTTTCTCCGTATTAATAAAACCAAATCAAAATATTTCCCAAATAAAGAAAAAATAGGGTATACGAAATCAGTGATATACCTGCAAAAGCTCTTCCAAAACAATTTGGTATAGTTATACAGTCCCAAAATAAAAGTGTAGAGCAGTTTTATCTTGTTCATTGCAAAAATCACATTTTATGTCAATGTCAGGTTGAAACTTTTTTAGGTAACCTTTCACTGGATAGAATCTATGAGTTAATTTAAATTAGACTTCTCTGACCTTATTTACAGTAATGTATTTATTTAGCAATAACCAAACTTTTCTCCAGTCCACAATATTCATAAAATTGCTCCAATAGATAATTTCATAAGATTTGTTAAAATATCTTTCTGAAAGAGAGCTCAAGAACAGGTGGTGTGGCAAACAAAGAGCTTTCGAAACCTCTAAACAATGCAACAACAGCTGTGGGATCAGCATCAAAAGCAATGGCAAATTCTCTAGGCGTGACAGGAATGTATTTTAATTTCATTTTCTGAGAGTGCAAGCATGATATTGACCCAATGTGGTTAACATTGACACATTAATATTGATTTAACATTGTTTCAATGGTTGCTTGCTGTCTGTGTTTTTCCATAAATCGCTCTCGTTTGACCAGACAACTCACACACTCCAAATATATAGAAATAACAATCCATCAGTTATCTATATCCATATTGATCAATCCCCGAACAAACCATTCAATACCTTAATCATTCATCATCCACTACCAATTATGATTGTTTAACAACATCCAACACCAAATTTGAGAATAATTTTAACTACTAAAAAACTACACAAATAAAATGTAACTGTTCAAGCAATAATATGTCACCCATTATTCACAATCAGCAAAAATATGAACTTTATCAAACTGTATATTATAAGATCTCATCAGGCGTCACATTAGGAGAGTCTCTTGACTTTATTATTATAGATGTGACTCTTAATTTTAATTTAACTGCTTAAATGAAGCCTCCATGACGAATGGCTTTAGTTTCGTTACTCGCAGAATAAGATAAAACAGAAAAATTCATAATATTGTTGTGGCAGATTGTTGATTAGACCGTGTTTCTGTTATAAAGCCCTTGTTTAGAGATGAAGAAGGGCTGAAGATGGAGTCAGGACCCTCATAGATCTCCCAGAAGCCTCTGCTCTGAGCACATTACAGTAGCGGAGCAGTCGTCACGTGATCGAGATAAACTCGTCCTTATCGGCCAGAACCCGCTTGAAGAAGAGAGAAAATAAGAGGATGTTTGTTTTATACGAGACAAGCAAATACAGCCATCAAAACACAAACAATATGACATTAAGCAAATGATAGAGTACATTTAATACCAGAACAACTTCATTTTTCATTATATAAAGCACAAGCTTGAAAACAATGATCCGTCATTATCAACTGTTTTTTGTCTGCATGGATTATGATATACTTCAGAGTGCAGCACTAAATCATAAACCAGTATAAATAGATTTTCCTTTACCTTTCTGAAGTTTCAAATGAAGTTTGTCAGCGAGATCATTTTGGTTGATGTTCACCAGCACTTGCACTGCAACAGTCCCAGCATTAGTGCTGTACTTCTGAACCATGCAATCCACAACCTCCTGGCGATCCGCGTCCTCCAGCTTTGCCCGAGGAATAGGCTCGATGTCTGATCCGACGCCGTTCCACAGGTGCCAGATGAACCGCTTGAAATCTGCTTTCACAATCTCGTCGAGCGCATCCAGAATCAGCTTTTTAGTTTCCATTTTCTGTCACTGCATGGGAGAAAGAAACAGTCTTGATTCTGGAACTGTAAATCATTAATTGTGCTCTTTAAAACAGTTCACAAACACAACTATTGATAATAGCTCACGATGCAGTTACACTCCACTCCCAAAACCTGTTCAGAAAGTAGATGAAAGCAGGAATTCAATAAGTAGAGGTTAGGCGAACTCTGAATTGTACATTAGTAGTGAAAAGATGTTTAAGGAGGATCATGTCACATATTGACCTCTTAGGTCAGTACATAGATTTCAAACTTATAAAATCTTCATGGTTTGCAATGTTGTGTGGAAGGGCTAAAATAAACTATTTTTTTTCTTTTTCTCGGTTCAAAATATTTGTTGTTGCTTAGCATCAAGTGAGTGACGACACTTTTACTATGAGTCATTTACTGTACATTAAAGGTCAAAGTATCCGTTGAATCCACTGCTTAATAATGAGGTCAGTTTAACCAATCAGAATGAGCTAGACGAGAAATGACTTAAATACACGAAAATTGTATAAATTAAGTTAAACATTTATTTTGAGGGGGAGGAATTGCCTACAGCACGTCATCTGGCTTGTTTATGCACAACAGGTGGAGAATTTTTTTAATTTATTTAATCAAAATATAGAAGAAATAGTGTCCGGCAGGATCAAATAACTACTGTATCTAATGATTTCTCTGAAGTTCGATCACCTTTAAAAAGCAACCTTTTTATTACTTCCCTTTAAGTCGTAGATTGATTGTAGGCTAATGCTGACTATGTCGATCAAAGTGAAAATCCTGAATGTGTGAATCCACACATTCACAATGTGAATCCATACAAAGGATTTACATTTAGAAGTAAAAGACTAATTGTTAATATTTAATAGGCAACTTTTTGTCTGAGGCATTAAGAATGTCATCTTAATCTCTCAACATTTCTAAGAAACTTTATATCAGATATTGAAAACATTTGATAAATATGGAACTCTATACTTACATATCTTGTTGAAGTAAATTTCGTGTAGTCCGTCTGCACTTCCTTGTGCTTCGTTTGGGAGTTTCGCTTTCTCTTACGGTGTTTCCAGAAATACTTCATTTTTTTTGTTCCTTTCCGTCTCGCCCAGGCTTGTGCGTTCATCGAATCTCCACCTGTTTCCATATATCCCATAACGCTTTGCACAAAGTTTTGTAACAAACTGTAAACAAGTATCATTCCCAGACAGTCAACAATTTGATCTCACAGTGATCACTTTATCTAAATGTCACAGTAGTTCAAATGTGTGTGTCTTATTATGCATCTAAAATTCTTCATAGATGATGATGATGATGACACTGCTGGATCTCATGCTGTATAATCACTGTGAGGTCAATGTGTTTTCTTTCTTTTCAGTAGACCTTAGTCAGGGTATTATTGAATTTCTGATTCACTGTATTATATTGTTGTTTAACAGAATGACAAATGTTCTACCAACAAAACATCTTTCCAGAAAAATATTAGTAGATACATTTTGAAAGTTGTGAGTTTGGAAAGTGACGTGATCAAGGACCGTTCCCTCAGACTCATTTTTATCCAGGTACAATTCAATGTGACATCTCGTTGACTAAGGTCTATGTATTGGGCAGACATTAGGCACCTCTTAATAATTGATATTTGCATAATTTATATCTCCTGCACCACTGATTTTGTGCTTTTTTGTTTATTCTATTGTCTGCAAAATCAGTTAAGCTAAAACTAATACATAATCATATTAAGTTTTGTATCATAAAATTGTGTATAATTTTTTGTCTTCACATTTTGGATTGGTTTTGTTGAGACATTTGGTCATGTGACCTACACATGTTTGTCATTTGGAAACTGGAATAAAACTGCAGGTTAATGTTTATATTTGTATAAATATGTCCAAAAAATGTGTTTTCATTGTGTTGCGGTGATGGTTAGGCTACTTTTAAGCATCAGATCAAGTTAAAATGTCTCTGTAATGTAACATCTGTAGTGTAGCACTGATACATTCACTTTACTTGAAGAGGGAAGCGGATACAAGCGCAATACTCTTGCAAACACTGACCAGCATATGAAAGAATGATAGAGAGCATTTTAGGTTAAAAATGGGGTATTTATTTTGAACAATCCAGAGTTTGAACAATTTCAGTTTGTTTGATCCCATAAACAGACGTTTAATGACAAGCCAAATCATCCTCTAACTTTTATTTACTTTAATTTCTCAACAAAATCTATTTGCATGGATGGGTAAAACCACAAAGTCACAGAGCTGAAAAAACTTGTACATTTTTAGTCCATTTCCATTTTCACCTCCCCAAATGCATTTTCTTCCTTTTCATCTTTCTTTTCATCATCATCTTGAAAGCTTTCAAGGAATTTCTCAGCTTCATTAATGGAAGAGCAGTTGTCTCCATTTGAAAGGTTTATGTTTTGATCAACTTCACAACAGCTAAGGCTTGCTTTAAGCTTTCTTTTAGGAAAGGTAAGGACCTTATCCTCATTGATGAAAAAGACAAGGCTAAGCTGATCCCACACATAATACTGGTATGGATACATCACTGGATTTGTCACTGCTGTTTTTCCATGGATTGCCAGTTGGTAGTTGTGGGTTTCACAAATGGCTTGTGCTCTCCAGATGATCTGATTTCCTTCATAAGAAGCCAGTGGGCTGGATTTAAGCAGTGGATATGTATTAAACTCCTCATTAAACTGAGGGCTGTGAACGAGAACAACATACTCAATCTCCTGCTTGAAAAGTTTGGTCTTGTATACCCTGAGAACCGGCTCTTTGTCCTCACACATCTGCTTCTTGTAGGCCTCCATCAGTTCAGTCAAAGGAAACGTGAAGCGGAAGTTTCCGTAGCGTGAGGTGTCATTTATGAATGCTGGTGATGTGGTGAAATCTCTCAGGAACGGCTTCTGAGCTGCTATTTCTTCTTTGCTTCTGTCTGGGATTGAACTCTCGAGGAAACGCTCCTCGGCTGCTCTTATTTCTGCTTCATTGATCTTCAGGCTCCACCATGAAAACCAATCTTTTTCAAATCCCTCCAAATCCCAGATCTCCCGAAGGCTAGTTTTGTTAGTGACATGGGTCAATTCTGTGATGTGAAATTCAACAGGAGTTGGATAACCTGTGACATCTTTGGAGAGATACTTTTGTACTTTTTCTTCATGTATTATATCATCTCTCATTTTCAGATTTTCTAAGCTGACATGCTCTCCCTCAAGATATAACTCTCGTATTCTGCGGCTGTTCCGTCTTGCTTTGAAGCGGTTATCTGTCTGAGAAGATAAAGTTAGTTAACATTGAGTTACACAGTACACTACTACAGTAAACTTAAATACAATGCAAAGGGTCAAAAAACACACCCGGGACACAAACACAAAGGACATTGTGATAGTGGCAGCAATTGTGGTGAACGTTATCAGTGTTTAGTAATAAAGCAAACAGAACTTGGCACTGTTATTCATTATAGTAAATATATGCTGGTTAATCATTATATCCATTTTCTGTTTGTTTTAACTGTAATGTTATAGTGAATTGTCTAAATAGATGTATTTGGTCTAAACAGTAAACATGTTTTGTACAGAATCTTAACAAGAGACCAGTTAACAGGATTTTGTTATAAGAACGTTCTCTAAATATTCAGTGTTGGTTCTGGGAACGTGAAAATGTCAAGTTTTCTTGACGTTAGAGGAACGTGTTTTAAAATGTTTAATCTTCCTCAAATGTTCTTTAAACGTAATTTCCGATTCAAAATTCAGCATGATAGTAATGTTGATTTCTAACATTCCAAGAACATAAAAATGTCCAGTTTCCTGAATGTTACTACTTCAAATTTGAGTTAAGTTAACACTGAAGAGTGTTAAAGTTAATGTGCTATTTAAGTTATTGATTGAGTGATGATTGAGCATTATTGAAGACACCTGATGATAACAAGCAGAATCACTGAAGGAAAAAAACTCAAAGTCACCATTATGGAGATCAGTGTTTGATTTAGTTGGGCAGTTGACCTTTACATGTTTAACTTAAAATGTTTTGGCTGCTGTACATCACCATGACAGTCAGATACACAAAGAGAAAAGGTGATCTGATGATGTTGGTTATATTATGTATGTCTTATGTTATACCATTTCAGTCTTAACCATTTTAATTAATCAGAAATGATCTTAAACAGGGCTTTACGTGTAAAATACTGAACTAACCCTGGCAATCTTAGAAGTAAAGCTCTCAGTGAGTTTAATGATTCAGGTCAAATAATGATTATGTTTAAACACAACTAACACCATTGAATCAACTTTTTTCTTTGTTCATCTGACTGTTGTAACTCAATCACAATAACCAACCTAAAAGTTAAAAATACAAGGGTCAATAATCACTCAATTATTCACTTAATTATCTCATTAACTTTAACACTGATTCAGTGTTAATTTAACACTCTGAGTTTGGACTAATAGAAACACTGAGGATTTTTATATGATCAGCACATTTTGGTTCTTACTATATTATTTTGATGTGTCTGCTAGGATTTTAATGTCAAATGAAAAGAATTGCCTACTTACTGCGTTTGCCATTTCATGAGGTTTATGTTTTCAAAAGAAGTGTGTTGTTCTTCTGTTCTCTCTTGTGACGGCTGTGAGATCCACTGCTGGCTTTTAAAGGCTTTCTGAGGACTTCCACACCCATGAGGGCTTATCTTTAGAAACAAAACTTATCTTAGGTAATCACAAAGGAAACGCGTTAGATCTAAACAAAGAAATACAAAAATTATAAAGAGTAAGCTAATTGAATTACAAAATAAGCTAAATCCATGTTGAATGCAACATTGTGTACTGATAAAGATAATCAGTCCCAAACCCATCATGTTAAAGGGGTCATGAACTGTCTTTTTAAATTTTATTATATTGTTGTCTGAGGTCAACTTATGACGTTCGCTTGGTTTTTGCATTCAAAAACATCAAAATGAATAAGTAATAGGCTATTTTCTACCCTAGTTTTGAGCCTAGCAGAAAAACGCTCGGTTTTTATGGGCATCTCGCACTGAAGACTGTGAGTGGATAACAGTTTTGCATATTATAATGAGTTTCAACTTTTTTTGAAAATTGTTTTTGAAACATCAAATGTTGTAAAATGGCAACCGGAATGATTCGCAGAGGAAGCTTATGCAGCGACTGTCTTCTTCCACAACCAGGCACTGCACAATATTCTGTGTTGCTCTGTAGCTCGGTCTGGATTGTCATCACAAGGTAGGCATCTATGTTATTTAGCTATGCGTGTAATGCGCGAATCGGTGGGCGGGGCTAAACCGGCCGTGTTGAAGTAGGGGTTGATCTTCTTCTGCAGGGGTGGGGTTTTATCCTCTTTGTTCATCATAGTTCCCCACTTTTAAAAACGAGTCTTTTCAGAGGCTGGTGTCAATAAAAGCTTTTATTGGACTAACAAGGACGACCTGAAACTTACAGGATATTCTTATATGACCTCTTAGATATTAAAAGCTCAAAGAAAATTTGATTTCTCAGTTTATCACCCCTTTAAGGATGTTTAGGCCTCGGATAAAGACAGAACTGGTCGACTTTGATTCTCGTTTTTAATCTGATTACATCCTCTCATGTTTTTCATCTTATAAGGCGAGGGAGGCTGAGAAAGTTTAAAATTATATAGTTGTGTTTTAATAATTATTTGCCCACTAATATTGCTCCTATGCAAACAATACAAAAATCAATATCTTATTGTTATTTGTGTATTCGTCAATCTTTAATTTGTACTCATGACCGAATGGATATTTAAATGACGTAATGTTGTTTACTTCCGTCAGAAATGCGTCCAAGAAAAAATTGTCATCTGTTTTTCTTCATTCAAATGAATATGACTTTTTCAAAAGAAATATATATCTGTTATTGATTTGTTTTTGTTATTAGGAAAATCCTTCTAAATTGAGTAACTAAAACCCCAGTTTTGCTCACTTTAAAACAGCCTTTAAAATCAGAATTTTAAACTATCAGAAGAAAGCAAACACACACCTATCAGCTTTCAGTGTGTGTTTGGCGTTCCTCAGGCCTGCTTGTGTCGGCTCTTGATGCACTGAATGAAAGACTGGTTCCTCCAGAAGAGAGAGAGGGCTGTTGACTCGTAGATCATCATTTGGGACAATGTTTCCCTCCACCACTCTCGCCCTGTGAATGAATGGTTTGCAGGACGTCCTGCCGTATGAGCTGATGTCCCTCCTGAGACAATGAATGCTGGTTGCCTGGCAACGGGTCGCAGGGATGGATACATGGAGGCATTTTTCCCTCATGTTGATAAAAACCTGTGGAATAATCGTGGCATATAAGTTTTTATTTGTTTTATTTTTGGGGATATTTCCACCTTTAAGTTTCCTTTTTATTTTATTTTTTATAAAGCATTCAAATATTCAGCATATTTGAGTTTGTAAAGCATAATTTTATATTTATAGCTGTATTTTGTTGTCCACTGTGTAATGATTGATTGAAAGAATAATTTAATTGGACCTCAAGTTGTGGTGTTTGATGGAAAAATGTCATTTTGACCAATGAGCTTCAGTTTTAGCCTGTGATTTTTTGTGTACTTTGTTTTGTTGCTGACATTACTGATTATATTTTCATTTCCATTTTTGGTTTTGTCATTCATTTTTGGTCCATTTTAAATGATTTTGTCAAAATAATTTAATCTGGTAACCTAAAAATGCACCTTGTACACACATACACACACACGCACACACACACACACACACACACACACACACACACACACACACACACACACACACACACACACACACACAGAGATATCTGACTACAGCTGAAACTCGAAAAATTAGAATATTGTGTACAGTTATAATTTTGATGATTATGGTTTACAGCTTATGAAAACCCAAATTCAAAATCTCAGAAAATTTGAATACATGAAAGCAATAAAAAATTATTTTAAATACAGAAATGTTGGCCCTCTGAAAAAGTATGATAATTTATACAGTTATACTGTATATCCTAAATATATTAGTTTAACCTTTATTTCATTTGAATAACAGTTATTTGAAAAGTTATAAAGTTATTTAAAAGTTATTTGAATAACTTTCGCACAATATTCAAATGTTTCAAGTTTCACCTGTACAGTCCTGTTGAACCTGTGATGAGTGATGACTCTTTGCGCCACTAGAGGGAGTGAGTTTGTTTTTCTTATCAGTGTAGTTAAAAGAAAACAAGACACACCTTTACCAGGTAGAAACGAAAGTTAAAGAGACGGAAGAGAAGAGACGCCATTCTGAGGCTTTAAACCTCGGGTGTTACTCTGGGTGTTTAAACAGTCGCATATTTTGAGGTAAGTTCAGAACTCATGCTTCACAACCATGGAGTGATATAACAATTTGCTGCCATTTAGGTTCATGTTCTTTACATGGAATTTAAAACACAAATATTTATGTTTCCACATGAGAATCTAACCAAAATGGCGGAAAGGTTGACGACGTATTAATATCCTACGATTTAACCTAGGGTATAATATATTTTTTATAAAGTAATAATACTTTGTTTTATACAATATTATATATAATCAGTAAAAAAGATGTTCTGCCTGTATTTGAATATTTTTTGATCACGTGACAACAAAATAAACATTTTGAATTTGAAGATATTTCTCCATGAGTTAGATTCTTGACACAAATTAATTAATAATAATAATAGAGGTTTATCTGAAATGTAAAGTGCATTACAAATATAAAATCTAAGTGCCACAGGTAAGATCATAAAAGCAAGGTAAAAACATCAGTGTAAAATATTAATAAATACTGAAACAACATTACTGTATATGGTTAACAATCATAAGTTCTGTTAAAAAGCAATGTTTTTAGTCTTTTTTTTAAAAAGTCTCAATAGTCTGTGATACTCTTAAATGGTCAGGGAGGGCAGCCGAAGTCCGAGGAGCGGCCGAGCAGATGCACTGTCACAATCACCCATTGTCCTGAGCTAATTTACATATACTTTTAGCTGTGCAGTCACTGTCACACACACACACACACACACACACACACACACACACACACACACACACACAGATAGGTCAGGTGTGATTGCATGTCAGTTTGTCTCTGCAGATGCTTGTTTTGTCATGTGAAATACACGTCTGAAATAAGCAGTTGAATTAAAAGTATTTTTTTTTTCTATTTGTTTAATACACTGAGATATATTTGTATGTGTTCATTATAATATGGGGAAGATAAACGTTCTAAAAATATTTAAGATGTACTTTGATGTAGCTGTATTGTATCGTTGTAATATAGAAAACTATTAAAATTAACTGTTTCCTCACAAAAGGTCTGAAGTCAGTCCTTTTTTGAGAAATAAGAGACGGAGAACACTAAAATGCGTCTCCATAATGAGAGAGAAGGTGAGGACACTGCGTCTGAAAGGAGTTCTCCATCTCCTGGATCCAGCGGTGTGTCTGTGAAGAGTGATCAATCCATGAGGAAACTTCCCTCTGGATCCAGTGATGCAACAGTGACCTCTGACCCCAGGTGAGACACTGGACATTTCAGCATTGACAGATAATTTTATTCAAGGTTTTTTACAGACCATCCCAGAAGCATGAAGTTGTGAGTGGTGATACTGTACAGAGAAGCACACAATCACTTTCCTGAATTTTCACTTTTCACTAGAGGAATGATCTTAAATTTGTCCAAATAGATGAGTTGCTTGCAGATTCCAAAAAGTGTCTAAAAATGATCTTTTAGCACTTGACTAAACCCTCTTAAACCAGTAGCTCTCTTTATTTCTAGTAACGCATGTATTTTGTAAAATATACATTTTTTAACATTGTGATAATGTTAAACTTCAAGTTCAGTGAGGGTGATGGAAGAAGACAAGGGGTCGGCGAATACTGGAGCTCATGTGCTTTATTTTACAAAAATACTCTTTCCACAGCGCCTCAGCGCTCTTCACAATAAACTCAAAACAGTCACTGAAATCACAGACAGGTGTTTATCATTTGAACTTGACCCCATAGGCGGCGCTAGGGAGGGGCTAGCAGGTGCTTCAGCACCCCCAAGAAAGACCAAAGCACCCCAATAGCACCCCCAAGCCCAAAAATAATATCTGGAAGCAATTATATTTTGGCTGTATAGAAAACAGTTTACTAATAAAAATCAATGTTTTCGTAGTATTCTAATTAATAAGTGATAAAATAATTTAAGACAAACATTTTATTCATTACACATATGCGACGTCCGACGTCAGGTCACGTGAATTGCAATGTATTCGAATTATTTAGAAAGATGGAGTGTTTCCTTCTGCCAAGTAAGCAAACTTCAAATTTAGTTTGCGAAAATGACTAAATTTACCTCAGCCCGAGGTTGACAACGTTTCAGAATCGGATTTTAACTGTACGATTAATGCGTTTGCCTCAGATGCAGAAATGGCAAAAGTAACAAGGCGTTTCAAATGCACCTCCTTTGCGTAGGTCTGTGCTCTTTAAATGCTGTAATAACCTAATATAAATCACTGACAAACATGCACATGCTCTGATTATAATCATATAGCCTAGATCATTTTAGATGATGTTTTGTATGCTTTATTTTAGCAGCTTGCAAATTATTTATGCTATGAAAGTTGGGGGAAAGTTAGGCTTTTGCGGC